TCAGACAAAGCTACGAGAGGGACAGAAATCTGTGGAGAGAAACATCTGAGAAATATCTGAGTTCTACTTAGTGATCTCCTATATTTTAAATCTGTAAAATTTCTTTCTTCCAATCAAGTTTGCAATAACCCACCTTGGATTCCTTAATTGTTATGCCATGCTTCTACAAAATAAATGTTGCAAACACATCCCAATATGGCTGAACTCAAGATATTGTTAATTTAATGAAATAGCTATTTAAACAGCATTTTAATTCCTCAGTTCTGGAAGATAAGACGTCTCAATATACAATATTAGAGACAACTATAGCTGCATCCTGTCCAGGTCACTAGATAACCATGAGACAAACTTTGGTACAATAAAGCAAAGAAATGCCAGTGTTCCCCCAGTGAACAATGCCCAGTTCCCAGAGGTTCATTAATTTAATCTCTTAGGGTATCAAAACAGATAAAGACCTAAGGAAAAGAAATTAGCTCTAACAAAAGACTTCTTTATTTCAGATCATATGGTTATGATGACAGTCTGCTAATCAGTACTCATCTCTTCATCTTTCTTACACTGAAAGATTATGTAAATTATGAGGTTTGTTACTTTTTCAGAATTATAAGAGATTCAGAAACCGCAGTACTTCACATCATACTTAGAAATGCTTTTAAGATAAATTGTAAGACAGAATTCATTCACTCCAGTTTTCTAGAGGGGAACAAAGATCCAAGGAGGATAAGTGCCCGTTTCCAGAATCCACTGGAAATATAAAGCTCTGTGAAGATTTCTTATTTGCAAACATTCTCCATAAGAAAATATATACAGAGATGTATGATGTAGTCTCACAGTTAGCATTCTTCTGGTGGGGTTGCACTGCCAAATAATTTATCTCCTTGGTTCATTTGACTGGATTCTTTGATTTCCATACTGAATGATGTTAGATTTGACTTCGGGTTTCTTTTAGTACAAACCAGCTTGTTCATTCTGAGATTAAACATACGTTTCAGAGACATTCTGTTCATCACTAAAAATTATGGAGGAAGCGATGACAAGTGTGGCTCCCCGTACTCTGTACAGACTGCCAGCACCAGCTTGGCACGTCTTGCACTGCCAAGATGCTCCAATAGTCTTAGGCACCATTCCCCAGGGCAGCATTGTCCTGTCCACAAGTGATCTCCTTCAGGTTGCATTTGTTTTCTCAGGAACTTTGCATAAAAACAAACAAAAAAGAAAGTTAGCTCTTCTATTCCTGAGCCAGCAGAGAACAAGATGAATGTTCAGAGACCACATTGCCAGTGGCAAAAGTGCAAAAGTGGTGTGGATGTGTCCAGTCTGCTCTAGAGGGGTCTCATTCAAAGCAGCAGAGCAAAATGTCCTGGACTCACTATTTAAATGTGTCACTGGATTGGCCTTGATAACATGGACCAAGAGTAGACAACTGTATGCTATTGTCTGGGATGATTTTGGTTTGCTGCACACATTGGATCAAAAAGAATTGTAAGCATGCTTTGTAGCCATCAATGCTTGGAAACTGAAACTTCATTTACTATGTCAAAATAACTTTAAGTAACAATGGTCAAAAACCGTGCAGATGAACCTCACGTCATTTACTGCAGCAGTCATTCACATTAATCTTTGGCAGTATGGAGCATGATACTTCTAAAAGAATAACAGTTCATGTTGCTTTCACCATAGCAAGTTGAACTCCCTTAATGTTTCAAAATACCTTGCAGCAATTTAGTTAATTAACCACTATCTTTTAATTGCTGATGGATTTTTAAAAAATGTGGTCCCCTAAACTGAAATGTACTTTCATGTAAAAACACCAAAATATTTAATCATAAGTACAAATTTTGAAGAACGCTAGTTACTATTAGCATGTTCTTAAGGTGAACTCAACACTGCAGTGCATGCTTGTGGCCTTCTTACAACACATGAGTAAATTTGCATTTGATATCTGTGTGAAATGTGAAATATCAGATAAATCAGCTTAAATGTTTCTTCTCACTTGCAATATTTACTCCACCCTCTGTTTGTGCAAAACAATTGTATCTCCTCCTGGTCTTTGTTTGCTAGACTAAATTAGCAGGTATTAAGCAGGTACTAAGATATTCTTAGTATCTTCCTATGTGGTTCTTTGCTGCTGTGATAATCACAGTAGCTTTGTTTGCACCTGTTCCATCTTGAATTCATCTTTCTTGAGGTAAATAGTAATATTTGAATTACAAATGGTTTTCTGGTGTTTTAGAAAGACATATTACATATGCAAAGACTCTTTCACTGTATTCACTTTTTCTCTGAATTGCACTGTAGCATTTGCTGATCATCATCCTACGGGTACTAGAATACCTGCAATCCTTTCTGGTCCCCATCACTTAAGACTGGTGTTCTCTAAACTGTGCACTGTATTTTATCCTCTCCCTACAGATGCAGTCTTGGGGATCTTCCAATCCCATGACACCCGAGCAACTTCATTTCTGCCATATCATCATCAAAGATGTATTCATCTCATCCAGCTGTGAATTGCATGAACAGCCCAGCTGTTCTATGCTGATACCTCCCCTCATCAGTTTTTCTCTTTTTAAGCATATTTGAATTTAAAGAATTCACTCCATTAACTAATATAGATTTTAACTATTATTATAGCTTGTAAAAGCAAATATAAGAGTGATGAAGGTACATGAAAAAGAAGGAAAAAAGACAGGGGATTGGAAGGATGACAAATGGCTTATGATTCTTTAGAATTTTGCTGTCTTTATATAGTGTTCTTTGTTTCAAAGAAATTTTTCATAAGGGTGGTGCTAAGGCTTTTTCATCGCATGCTGTGGGAGAGGTGAAAATTAGCATGGAAGCACAAGAGAGCTATCATGGTTCATGTGCTCTCAGCTGGAGATCGCTGTTTCCCCCAGGAGGCTTAAATAGTGCAGCAGGATTGTTTGTTGTAAAGGTTCTCTGGGGGTACTGAATGCTCTGTGGAAAATTTCCAGGCACCGAGAAGTGGTGCTGGAGTTTTCAAACATATTCTAATTACTATAAACATTTCTCCTTGCTCTAGCCTGCAGAATCACAGTTAGCATCCTATGTGCCAGTTTTCTTTTTAGATTGGAAATGCATCAAGCATAAACCAGACATATTTTTCAGAAAAGACTGTGTTTAAATAAGGATTTCCTGAAACTAGCATTAGATTTGTGCTACAACTGCATGTTCTGTTTTTCTTCATAACTAATCACTGGAGTGGGTGCAGACAACAATATTGATCAAAAAGCTAGATATATGCCCCACCTTTTAGGCATGTGGTGCCTTCATCAGTATCTTTGGTAGTTTATACACAGAGTAGAAATGGCCTTACAATATTTTCCTGTATCCATTTACATTAATTCTGCATCTGCTGTTTAACCAAGCTATACCTGCTGGGCACTCAGCTTCAGCGCTTCCCTGAACAGGGACATTTTAACAATATGTTTAAAGGCTGGTGATTCACCCGAGGAAAGAGATTAATAAATAACAAGGACTCTGCTGGCCAGTCCTCTTTGGTCCTATTAATGAAAACTTTATGCTGCCATCATGATATGTGACCCGGCATATTCAGACCTATAGGAGGAGTTTCCTTATGATTAAATACAATGGCAGAATCACCAGCCTCCTAACAGGTCCTGTCCAACTATGGAAATGCTGAGTGAAATGTTGACCCTGCATAATCTCAAATGTAAATTTGCTATTGACAGTAAATGAGGCTAATTTCAACCTGTGAGAAGGGTTGTGGTGCCATATTGTAGCTGTAACTATTTGTAATCATATTTTGCTTCATTATCCAAAGAAAAATATTTTAAGTAGGAAAAACAATAGACTGTATGACTGCTCATAGACATCTGCAAAACAACAGCTGGCTTCTTTAGGGGGGAGTTATTCAAATCTGGGTAGGCATTTGTGGTACATGGAAGTAATCTCTAAATGGCACTTGGTAACTTCCTACTCTTTCAGAGGGGAGATCTGCAGCTGTATCATAATTGTTTACTTTCTGCAGAGTTGTGATGCTCTTTATGAAATGTTGGCATCAGCATCCAGAATTTCCCGGTAATGCATTCAAGCACCAGATTCCCGGCACTAGGTACCAAAGACTCTTAAGGGATTTACTTTTTTTTTTTTTTTAAAAAAAAGAAAACTAATGTCCTAAATAAATAATATTTTGCCCTATCAAGATAATAGATAAGGAAGTGCAGCCCCTGTTCTGAAGTGATGCTAATATAATGAACTGGAAGTGACTAATAGTCTTGCGGGAGCACATCAAGTGGAAAGGAGAGGCAGCTTTGCCTACACTTCGTTCTGTGGCCTCTCCTCATCTCCAGAGTGAATTAAGGAGAAATCCCTATATTGTGGGAATGATGGGACTGAATTTCTGTGCCCATAAGGAAAGAACTAACCTGTGCTTTTAAAGGTCACAGTTAGCACTTTCCTTTAAATTGTGTGAATGATATTGTTCCATATAAATAAGAAGATGAAATGCTAACTCCATTGTCTTTCAGAACAATCACATCCATTGAAACCTCCTTTTTACACCCTGTTGAATGTTCTCCCTTTATTTTTATGTGAACTTCTTGTAGTAGTCTTACTTGTAGTAACCTTACTTGTAGTAAAGGTTTCTGAGGAGATGAATTGTAGTGGCCATTGTAATGATTTTGCTAATGACAATGTATCACTGTAATGACAGTAACTGCAATGACTTTGTAGTGACTTGTAATGACTCCTACTTAAATTTGTATTGTGGTGAGCAAAGGCCCTCTGAAGCAAATGCTATCTAAAACATATGACATAGTTACAGGCATGTGTACAGCATATATTCGCCCAGTTTGTTCACCCAAGCAATACATTATTCTTATATCTCTGGTTAAAATCATAAGCTATACAGGAACACACAGAGACAAATGAAGAAATGAGGACCTTTCCTCCTTTACAATTTAGACAGATAAAGTCAGATTCTTTTTACATTGATGAGGTTTTTTTTTCTGCTTTTATAGGTAAAACACAGGTTATGGGTGAAATCAAGATTGCATTAAAGAAGGAAATGAAAACAGATGGAGAACAACTGATAGTAGAAATCCTTCAGTGCAGAAATATCACATACAAATTTAAATCTCCAGACCATCTCCCAGGTATGACACAGAAACCAGCCTTAAGTGTGATGTATCTGAAGATGTTTTAAAATGACATTAAAATGGAAAATAAATTATTTCTTAAGTAAGTAGAATGACATATGCTGTGTAGTTCCTTTTGGAGTGTTTTTGTTTGTTTGTTTTTCTCCTATTAACAACTCTAGTGAAAGTAAAAACATTTTCTAGAAGTAAATTTCCAGTCAACAGTTAATCCCTTTTTAATCAACTTTCTGATTGTTTAAAATTTCTTAACTTCAATAAAAATAATGAAATTATGATAAATGGTGAATTATATATGGTGAAAATATGTATTTTGGTGAAACAACAATTTTTTTTAAAAAAAAAAGTTAGTAATAGAATTCTCATAGATACATAAAAATACATAGATACATCAAAATATATATATTTTTATGTTGTAAGCACAAAGTAACACTCCCACTTTTAGCGAGGTCATTCGATTTTTACACAGTGTGTAGAGAACAGAACTGGCTGTATCATGTTCCATAGTCTGTTTCTCATCTACTGAAATCATTATCACCAATGATTATTTAAAAGAGTCTGTATTTTTGAATTTCTGAAATTCTGATTTTTTTGAACTGTTCTTCCCCAGACCTGTATGTAAAGCTGTACGTTGTCAATATCTCGACCCAAAAGCGAGTAATTAAGAAGAAAACCAGAGTTTGCAGACATGATCGAGAGCCTTCATTCAATGAAACATTTAGATTTAGTTTGAGTCCTGCTGGGCATTCTCTTCAGGTAATTCTGCATCTTATTAAAAACCAGTTTTGTATGTGTTCCATGTTGTGCTGTTTCCAGTTGAGATCAATCTTTTACCTCTGGTTCTAGGCTGAAAAAAGAAAATTTCAAACAAAATAACATAAATGGAAGTTTATGGCTGGAATAGACTTGAAAAGATTGTTTAATACATCACTCCACAATGAGGAAGGATAGATAGGCCAGCCCTGCAACTTTTATGTTTAATATCCTCTTAAAATCCTCTACAGAAAAAAAGTTCTACATGCATTCCAAAAATACTTGCCTGTATATTTAGCAAGTTTAATGAGGAACTTGATTATTCCACATTTTAAGTAAGTCATCTAACTTATCCTTAACTATTTCTCAAAACACAGAGACAATTGGCCACCATTCTCATTATTTAAAAAAAAAGAAAAAAGAAAATACCAAATTGTTATTGCTTCTCATTCTCTCTTCTCTCTTATTTTTATAGATGAAGTAAACTGAATGACCTGTTCTCTAAATGATAATAGTTCTGTCATTCTCTCCAGTTCCTCAACTTCTTATAAAATTGTGATGCCTAGAACTAGGCACAATAGTCATAATCTCAGGCATTGCACAACCACAGATGATGCCAAGTCAAATATTCTCTGTGTGCATCAATAAAGGAGAGTATAATATTCCCAGTCTTGGGTGCATTGAATGATGTGAGAACTGATTTAGGAAGTGCCCCTCTCAGGTTTTAGTTGTTCAGACAAATTTGATCATTTGATCAGATATGCTTCTGTCGAGGGGTAAGAGTGACCTCACTTGCCCTCATGTATTTATACTAAGGCTAAGCCAGTTATTCAGGCTCTCTCTACATGCAGGAAATAATAGAGAAGACAATTCCTGAGTTACCTGCATGCTAATCCAAAAATAAAAATCTTTTTAAATGTATGATTAAATCTGGATTACTGATTTAAACAAGTCAGCTAGGTTTTGATGGCTAAAGTTAGTTTAGATTATAAACATGAGGCCAAAAATATATAGATATTGTTTTCCCTGCATGCAAATATCCTAGCAGCCATAGCAGCCCTAATTAAATAGACTGAATTAAAATGTATTCAAGATGTTATAGATGTTATATTATATTGGAAAATCTTGTGTGGTCAATGAAGTCCTGTCAAAATTCAAGAGCTAAAATTTCTGTGAAAACACTGCTTCCAGGAAAAAGTCTTCAAACTTCAAAGAGGGGCTTAGCAGGCCAATAAGAAGGAGCCCACAGAGCCCTGACTTTTCAAGAGTAAGTTGTTAAAGAGTCATGATAATCAGGGAGATGGTCGCAGGAATAGCTGGCCTGACACAGATTTTCTCTCAAATGTTGTGAGGTACCCTGGTGCAGCAGGCTGCAGAGAAGAGGAGATGCCTTTGCTTTTCAGCATCCTTTCTATAAGCTGCATGCAAATTCATCTTCTCTGTCTCTTTGAATATAAGACATAGAAAGTCTTAAGCACAACAAGCAATCAGAAAAATTAAAACAAACAAAAGATTTCACTTCATAAAACTTGGAGCTTGAGCTGCAAAATTTATTTGTCATACGGTTCTATGAGATGTTTTCATGGAAAAAATTACACAAGTGATTGCACAGATTCATGGGCAAAGTACCTCACAGGCTATTAAATGCCATTTGTGAATCAGGAAGTCAATAGTACTTGTAAAAGTATTACTGTCCTGTTCTTATCCTCTGCCATATACACTGTGCCTTAGCATCCGAAAAAGAATGCTGACCTGGACATATCTTTGGTCTGACTCAGTACTCCTGTTTTTATGTGCTTTTCCTATCAGCCTATGAGATCCTTCTGCAGAGCTATAGGATGTAGCATGTAGACCATAAAGCTGGCTGATTTGGGGAGTGATGAGCTCTTGGGTACGTCACCAAAAGAGATCTGGGGGAGAGGATAAGGAAGTCAAAAGAGAATGTGCAGAACAAAGAGTTAGCTGGGGGCTACGGAAGAAAACTTGATCAGAGATGAGAAGAGCTCAAACTAAGCAGGGTTAGTGGGGCTAACTGCAAAAAGAGAGTGGGAAATAGTGGATGCATAGTAACCATACCAAGTATATTGTAAAGAAAAATGAAAAACAGCTAGAAGCAGCTATTAGGGCTGGGCTCTGTACTCTAAAAATCAACATGGGTGTACACCACAACAGTTGCAAATATTGGCTGTGGAAATGGGGCCATGGATTATTGTGGGGTGAGGGAAAGCTATGACCGCTTGGTCTTGGCTGTTGTGAACATATACATTTAAAATATCAAGATTAAAAATAGACTAAGTGATGCAGGATAATAATAGTGGATTTAAAGCCTGGAGCAGGGAAGACGCAAGACTGAGGTCCAGAAAGGTGAGAGAAGATGGAAAAATAGTGCTGCAGCTGAGGGGAGTAGAAAGAAGGATCAAGGACAGAACTGAACAGAAAATTTCTGTTAGAAAATTTTTCTGTCCCTAAAAATGTTGATCTGATATAATCAAAACATTCTACATAACACATTTTGACAGACTTCAGACAGGCATTTGGCTTGGTACCTACCAGCTTGCTTGGTAGCCTCCCTAATTCTCCCTGGTTCCTTGGCAACCCATCTGGAATGCCTTTGAAAAGAAGTGGGCTCCTGGCTCCTTCACCTTCCTTACTCTGTAGCTGCTTCCTGGCTGGCTGGCTCACTGCAATTGGAAATACATAATTTCCTATGTAAGAGAGAGAGAATATTTTTCACAGATGTTGGCTTACCAACTTCTGTGCTGACTCAAGGCACTGAATCATGCAACCTAGAAAGCCACCATAGGTTGCTTATCTCTCCCAAGGAGAAGTTTTCTGATGGATGAAGTGAAATGTGCTTCCCTAGATGCTGAGTTCCCAGGGCTGCTTCATCAGGTTTTCCCAACTTGAACTGTTTGACTGACAAGCATGTAGATTCCGAAGTTTGAAGATATGTACCTGGTTTACCAATTGATATTAAGACTGGCCATAGAGAAGCCATCCAGGAAACTGATTGCACTTTTTTGTTTGTTATACTTCATTGTACTAGAAAACTTTCTTTTTGGCTCTGTGCTTAACATCAGAATGGAAAATGCTCAGAAATGTTAAAATTTGTGTTTACTAGGAATTCTAGTTCTTCTGGTTCTGCTATGTGCCTATTACAGTTCCCTTTAGCACCTCAGCTGAGTCCTATCATTCTTCCTTGTTAGCTTGAATCTATGAAAGCAACAAGGAATTGCCCCATTTTCTCCCCTGCTAGTTCACACAGAAGGTGATTGCCTCCTACTGTAATCAGTTACCTCCCTTGCTCATTGCCTGAGGTCTGCTCAGTGACTCAGTGAATTTTACAAATCTGCTGTTAATTTTATTGGTGAAGTGGTATTTCTCTTCCACCTCATTTTTTTTTAAACTTGAATATTTTTTTGGAAAAAAAAAAGTTTCTGTAAGAAATAATTGACTTGTGAGACACAAAAGTCTATTGTGAGTTGTAAACTGTATGCAAGGCACCCTCAAACCCCGCGCACATAAAAGGTACATATTCTCCATAAAGCTTTACTCCGTGTTATACTTAATCTTGTGTTTGTCTTTGGCAACCAGTGGGTGAACAAATTGCTCAATGAAGTCCAAGATTGTCATATTCTAGTTCCTGCATCTCATGATAATAAAATAAAAGAGAGAGGAGATCTAATTTTCATGACTTCTTTTCTCCTGGCAAGATGACCCTGTTTTAAAAGCTATAGCCAGTTTTTCTTGCACCAAAGCAGAGCTCAACATTTCTGAATCTTACTTGTCTGACAGCAAATTCAGGATGTTAATAAGCACAGCTGTAATTTATTGTTGTTGTTGTTATTTTCCCAGATTCTGCTTGTCTCCAACGGAGGGAAGTTTGTGAAAAAGACACTGATTGGGGAAGCGTATATCTGGCTTGACAAAGTGGATCTAAGGAAAAGAATAGTAAACTGGCACAAATTGTTGGTCAGCTCCACACAGACACACTGAGTGGAGCGGTCTGCTTAGGGCACAAAACCTGCAGAGTCTGCTATAAACAGCATCACTCCAAGACTCTAGTTTGATATCATTGTGTTTAGCTAGTCTTTCAGAAAACGAAGTAGAAAAGAGCAGTCTCTGAGCTACACAGCACATGTAAAAGAGGGCTAGTGCACTTATTTTGCTGAAAAAGACAGCAAAGTGAAAGAAAACCTGGGCCCCGAACTTAAAGTGAGTCTGTTGGAAATGAAGACTGATATGTGGGCTCCGTGTTGTTGGACTCTGCCAAGAGAGTAACTGGGGAAGAAATGATGAAGGCTGGAAGGCAGGTATTAATGCAGAGTTTGGCTGCGACTGGAAGTAGAATGATGGAAAGAGCAGTCTGGTTTCTTGTGCAAGCAGAAGGAGATCACTTTATGCAAAAACACCTAGGGTGACTGACCTTCCACATCTCACTTATCAAAAGTGTAAAATGTATTCCTCTGCAATTTAGGGTCTCTGATGATTCACTGCAGTGAGATTATGCCACTTGAAACAAACTGCAATCTGTTTGCACAAGTGGTCATGTTATTTTATATTATTTTTTTCTTCTTTTTCCTTTAAAAATGATATGCTATGGAGAACCAGATTAGAAATGTTTCATTTGTTTCTGTGTGTTAATAATGGATATAAATCACTGTCCTAGAATGTAACAAAACTATATTAAAGGTCTATAATTTGGGGTGCGATTTTAGTGAGAAAGGACAGAATGTAAATTGCACTAAATAAGGAAGAAAAAAAATGGTGTTTTGTCAATGATGCTGTAATTCAACCTATCCTTTGAATCAGCAGTTTAAAGAAAGCTTAGAATCAGAAGCGATTTAAGCACTGGGACTATTTCAGCTAGTCCTTTTGCTTTCCAGTGATCCTGAAACTGTGTAAAGACAATCAACTTGAGAATATATGCTAGGTATTTCAGAGTAGTAGAGCCACTGTGCCACTGCTCCGCACAGGGCTGCGCGTCTCCATCAGTAGCACTTGACGTCTACGTGGAAGGGGCAAGATGATGATCACTGGGGTAGGTTGTTGCATTAGAGAGTGTTAAGAAAATCCTCTTACTGTCTCAGGTGAATGTCTGAGTATGATCCTCTCAACAACGTGGCTTCTCAGCTACTAGAGAAGTAACTCGGGAAGCAACTTGCAATGCTTAAGCCTGGGTCAGCATTTCCACAATGAAAGTCCCAAAAAGTCTGTTTATAACTAAGCAGTTAGCTTGCTTTGGTCAGGAACTAATGTGTGGGGTGTTTTGGAGTAAGTGTTGCATTTTAATTCTTACTGCTTTAGAAGAAAGAAGAGCTTTCTTTTTTCTTTTTTCAATTCTTAAAAGGGTATACATTTGTTTAAAAGAAAAAAAAAACAAGAATCAACATGGTACTAATGCCCTTGTTACTCAGAGATCACTTGATACTTCACAGCTTCAGTTAAAAAAGTGTTTTCCCTGGAAATTTTACCTCAAGACCTTTGCATATTTAAAGAAGAAATAACTAAACTTATTCAATTATTTATTTTTTCTTCCTCAATAAGGACCTTCACAAATTATTATACTGATCTTCTTATGTTTTCTGAATTTGTTCATATGCGGCACACTTCCACATGATGTGCAAGACCAACTGAAAATATTCTTTTGGAATGAATACTTTATTGAACAAACAGACAAATAAAACAAATGCAGAAGCTGGGCCAACTGCAGAAAAGCTATGCCATTTAAACTGGTGGCACTTTTTCATTCATTTTCATTTGTTTTTACAAGGTTAAAATAACAGAATAGAAAAGGAATATGAGGGGAAAAAAGTCACAGAAAACTTCAATGTTACACCACAGAAACTCACATTAAGTTGTTGATAACCTGATGGTATCCTGCTTAACTTATGAGCAACCTTACCAAAACCCTATTAGCTATTTTAAAACCACAACATCACTGGCAGTGGGAGTAGGATGTGTGCTTTAGTGTTGAATATTATGCTTTCAGCAGTATATGTGACCCCTACCTCTCATATATTTCAGAAACAGTCCTCTGGAGTTATTGTAGACATCCTACATGTTTTGATGTTGTGTATGTTCATATGAGGGCACAAATATTTCACGGAAAAAATCCCCAACCAAAACAACAAAAAAGCCCAGTGTGACTCTATCTGGCATATGTGTTGCTCTTCTGGTATGTTATTTTACACTCTTTATGGCTCCAGTGTGTTCTTTTATTTTTTTTTTAAGAAAAAAGAGAGCCCAGTTTCAATTACCGTGTGAAGTACAAGCCATGAGGTGTGCAATTTTGTGCAAACTGCTGGTAATTTTGCTCTCACTAGGATTTATTAGTCAGGCAGCAGGCCATGCTGGTGGTTGCTATGGAGATTTTCAGCGGGAGCGAGCGCTGCGGGCCGCCTCACCGGGCAGCCGGCTATCATCGCTCCTCACCGAGACTGCAGACAGGCATGCTTTGCTCTCACACAAGTACACGTGTGGCCAACGTTTCTATGAAATGCTTGTGTTGTTTTGGGTAGCTGAGGGCCTGGTCAGCGGCTGGGTTCATCCAAGCATCGTTGGGTCTGTGGCCAGTAAGCAACGTGCTTCTGTACACTGCTGACAAAGCAGTTTTGGAAGCCCACCATGAAATGCACAGCAGAGGTTGTCAGGAACGAGGAACCGCCTCGGCCAGCTGCGGCGAGGAGAGGACTCCTCCAGCGTCACCATCATCTGGTGCAAGGGGCAGTGCTGGGCCCACGCACGCTCTCTCTTCTGATGCAGCCTCTTCTGATGCTCCCAAAGTGTGCCAAGTTCCCTTATTTTCCAACCAAATTTCTAGGTTGTACTGGAATCACACTATGCAACACAGGTTCATGGTTGAATGCATTTCTTTTCTTTTTTTATTTTGTCAGTTTAATGAATGAAGTTTTTTAAAAAATATTCAAACAAGGACTATTAGTATTTTTTACTTTATTTGTATATATCCTAGTATATTTTTTCTTTTTTTCATTATTATTTTTGGTTTCTTTTATCTGGCCAAAAGTGCTTAGATGTGGCAACTGCTTTTATTATTCTGGATGATCATTAATGAGTTCATACATTTCTACAATTGCTTTTCAGATGTATATTGCAAGGAGGCCATATCAGAGGCATTTTCACTTTTTTTATTCATAAACCTGCTGAGTCGACAGAGATTGGAACTGCTTCTTTCTTCAAGGCCTTGTATAGTGGAAACAAGCTGAAAAAATGAGCAAAAGCACAGTGTGTGTGTTTACAAATGACAGGGATTTCTAATGTTATCATTATTATTGTTATTATTATTATGCATAAGATGAGCAGCAAAAAGTCACTTTTTTTTCCAGGTTAAAATTAGACATGAGAGTTTCTATGATGAATGCTGAGCTATTTCTTTATCATTACACTTTAAAGGGATAGTATCCAGAGGCAATGAGTACTGCTTCTTTATTATTACCCACATTTTAACATTACATGATCTTACATGGAGAAACGAAAAACAAAAACCCAGTCCAAACCAGCTCAAGTCAATAACAACTGTTATGTTGACTTAAACTGGCTTTAAATCAAGACTTAGAAAGTACTTGAGTTGCTTTTGTGGATGCTGGCTGTTTGCATGGTTAGGCTGTGGGATTTGGTAGCTGGTAACCAGCTGATATTGATTCTTACGTTGAGGATGACGATGAAGAAAAAGAAGACATCTATTATATTGTAAGCTAGTGTGTGCCCAATAGAGATTATTTAATTAGGATTTAGTTTCATGGAGATATCATAAAGATGTTAATAGTATTTTTTTAACTTATTATTTGAATCATAACTGACACTATTTTTAAGTACTTTATTTTCATTGCTACAATGCTGAATGTCCCAGATTTCATTATTTGAGTATATATCTAGATATGTACATACCTATGTGAATAACAGAGGAAAATTTGCATTTGTGTGAGTGTTGCTTAAAAAGGTAATGAAACAGAGAGGAAATGTAATATAGGTATTCATCTACGTTATATATACGCCCTGATCTTACATGCCCTGTGGATTTTTGGTACACCAGACATGTAGGATCTGTCACTCTTTATGAATACATATTGCCTTTAGAAGGAAAATAGAAGGAATAAGCAAATCCGGATACTCTCTCTTTAAATCACAAGAAACATTTTGATGCTTTCTGTATGTTATGTTTTATTATTGAAAAAAACAAGTAAATACACTGATGAACTCAAAAGTTATAATATATATAGATATCCATAACTCAAAGTAGGTGATTCGAGAGAAATACATTTTCTTAATTTGTTACCCTGTAAATAAGTATACATTTTTGTATAACAAACTGAGTTTAAATTATTGATTCCATCTGGCATCCAAGCATGTGAATGTGTCTTATTTGATTGTATCTTATAGGTGTTCAGTGATGTGCTCAGGTGCTCAACAACGGCTGACTAGCGTGTGTGCTGTCATGCTACAGACAACGTGTGCAGCATACCCAGTGTTTTTAAAAATTCAAAAACACCAAAACCACAAAAACACAAAAAAAAGTTAGTCCTTGGAGAAATGTAATGTTTCCACAGTGAATGTTGCATGCATAGATGGTTGTTTGTTAATATTCATTTTGATTTGGATTTCTTTTCATTTTCATTTTGCTTCCAGATTCTCTCAGAAATAAAAGGAAAAAAAAAAAAACAGACTTGTTCTAAAGCTTGTAAAAACAGAAACAAAAGCAGTATGAGAATTGTATAAAAATGCTTGTAAATCTGTCTCAGTTTTCACTTTATGTATAAATCCATGTCATGGTTTTGTGATTGTATACAGGATGTATCTTGAGAACTTATGCAAATTGTGCTGTATAAAGGCTGTTATCACAGTCTGACAAATAAATATTTAAAATATCTGTTTGATTTCTTTCCCGTAATTAACATCTAAGTTTCTGGCTACTTTCCTCCGGTAGGGAGTGCTCAGAAGCAATGTCTTTTAGCCATCAATCTAAATAAGAAATTGGTTTCTTTTAGCAGTCATTTTAATCTTACTGAATTGTGCTTGGCTTGTACACATCAGGAAAGTACATCATCATCAAAAGTCTTCTATTTCTGAGCCAAGTCCAGATCTATATTATACCTGTGTACTTTTCCTCTTTCTTAC